GAGCAGGGCAGAGGGATGAAGAAAGAAAAAAAATAGGGACAGGAAGAAAAGCAGAGTAACCAAGAGAGGAAAAAAAAACCAGAAAGAGAACTGGACAGAGATGGGCAGCAGGACAAAGAAATGGAGAAAGAAAAAACAGCTACAAGGACAGGGACAGAGGGATAGAGAGGCAAAGAGAGGCACAGGAAGCAGGACACAAGGTTGCAGAGAGAGAGGTACAGGGAAGTGGAAAGAATGACAGAGAGAAAAACAGCAGGGCAGGGAGCAGGTCAGAGAGCTGGAGAAAGGAAAAAAATACTGCTGGGGAACAGGACATGAGGATAGAGCCAAAAGAGATGACTGGGAAGCAGGGCAGTGGGATGCAAACAGCAAAAGTAATGATAGGCAACAGGACAGAGGGATTGACAGAGAAGTACTGGACAGGGAGCAGGACCAAGGAATGGAAGGGAAAAATACTGATGAGCAACAGGGCAAAGGGATGCAGAGAAAAAGGAGGGAAAAGGAAGGAGGAAAAGAGAGAGAAAGACGAGGACAGAGCGCATGACATGGAGAGACAAAAAGCAGAGAGACTGGGGCGGGGGGGGCAGAACGGATGCAGATTAAGAGATGGAGAAGGCAAAAAACGGTGATGGCCTGCTGGACAGAGATGGAAGAAGAAAAAGTAGGGCCAGAGTAGGGGGGAGAAAGGAAAAAAAGGACAGCTGGCTGGACAGGGGACTATAACTAGAAACAATGAGACAGGCAGACGGACAGAGGGACAAAGGCAGAATAACCAGGGAGAGGAAGCAGAACAGATAGACAGAGAGAGGGAAGAGGGGGAAGGGAGCAGGACTGAGAGATGGAGAAAAAAGCATTAGGAGCAGAGGGACAGAGAGAGGAAAATACAGGTTGGAGGAAGGACAGAGGAACAGAGAGAGAAAGAGAGTGACAGAACCCGGACAGAAAGCGGGAGAAAGACAAACCTGTGACAAACAGCAGGCCAGAGGCCGGAGGGCATGGGGAAGGAAGGGCAGGAGGAAGGATTGAGGGATACAGAAAACATGTGAGGGACATGGAGCAAGAAAATGGGATACAGAGAAAAAGCGAGGGATGGTGAGCAGGACACTGGGATAGACAACAAGCTCGAGAGTGATGGGCACCGACTCGTCCTGCTCTTCCAGCAGGGTGGGCACACCCATAAGGCCCCCCCAGGGCCCTAGGGATAGCATGGAGTCGGCGGGAGGGTGCAGCAGCTGTGGCAGCATGTGGAGCTGCTGTGGCAGCCCCTCCTGTGGGATTTGCCCCCGTGGGCGACAGTCACAGCCAGCTTGGCTGCTTGGCTTTGGTGGCCATGCTGGTGTGCACCTTGCTGCTTGATGCCACCACCAGTGCCATCTCCTTCAGCCAGGGGCTTGGCCAGCAGGGGCCTGGGGATGCAGCAGGGCATGCTTGGGTCAGCTTGGGGCTCCAGGTCGGGTGGTTGGCGCACCAGCCCCACCACCTTCACTCTTTGCCCCAGTGGGTGGAAACTCAGGATGGAGTTCCGCAAGCATGCCCTCAGGTCAGTGCGGGGCATCCCCAGCCCCTGCGGCGTTTTGGCTTGGACTTTTTTGCACAGCAGCCTGTCCTGGGGTGGCACATTGCAGGGATCCATGCTATCAGCAGTGGGTGGGGTGGATGGGTGGGCACAGGGCCCTTTGTCCCCTGGCACTCCCAGGGCTTCTGGGTCGCTCAAGCACCAAGATGGGCACATTGGTGTCCTCAGATGCCCTGCGCTTGCTGCCGCCCACTTGTTGCCCGCTGCTGCCCACTGCCACACCGTCTCTGTCCGGCTTCCCCTCCCACAGGGTTTTTGAGTGTTTTGCCACCCAGAATACCACCATCTTCTTCTTCTCTGGTGGCATGTTGTCCCGTGGGGAGGTCTCTTGCGTCCTGGGGGTGCTGGCCGGTGCAGGGCGCTGGTCCTTCTTGCCGTCCCCCTCTCCCGATCTAGGCACCACCCGGCAGGAAACAATGCCCAGTGGCAGCAGCAAGCGGGTCAAAACCCCTCAGGGCTGCCTCTGCAGCGCCTCCTCCACCAGTTGGACCATGCAGGGCAGGTGAGGCTGGGGGCAGCTGCGGGGCTGGCCAGGGGACTCAGCAGTGGCATCTGCAGGGGGCTCAGCAGGAGACTTTCCAGGGGATCCTTCAGAGGACCCTCTGGGCAACTGTTCAGGGGATTCTCTGGAGGCGTCTCCTTTGAAGTCTCTGTAGTTCTTTCCTGAGAAGGGTCCCAGGACTCTCTGGCAGCCGAGGGGGAGGACCGCCACCACCCCATCCTGCTTCCTCCTGGGGTCCAGAGAGGGGGACATCGCCAGTCCCCACCAGGAGGGGTTGGTGTCCCCCAGTATCACTGCCACCACGCTGGAAGCACCCTGAGGTGGGGGGCTGGGGCAGGCGAGGGTTGCCAGGCCAGGGAGGGGGGCAGTGGTGTTTGTTCACCTCCATCGGAGCTGAAGGCCTGTGATACAGACTTCACCAAACAAGAACTTAACTTTCTGGGCGTTTGTCACATTGCAGTGCTTTGCCCCAGTTTCAGGCCACTGTCCAGTCTGGGAAACCCTCAGCTGAGCAGTCCCAAAGGAGCGAGGGTCTGAGTGTATTCTGGTTTGGCTCAGTGTAACTTGTGTGTCAGTCTGTGTCTGCTTTTGCTTGTTGCCTGGGCTTTTCTCTTTGAAGGGATGATATTTGGGAACTTCTGCAACACGGACCTCCTCCCTCCATCAACCCATCGCAGCACGCCTGCATTTAATGCCTGCTGTTCAACATAGTTTGCTCTCAGAGCTGCGATCAGAACCTTCATCCAGAGAAGAGCTGTTTGCCTCGCGACCCGATGAAGAAAATCCAAGAGCAAAAGGAAGAACTGGGCCTGATGGCACGCCTGACGTCCAGAACTTGCTGCTACAGGCCAGAGGTCAGTCTTGATCTTGCTGCCAGGGAAGCAATGCTCAGTGACATTCATGTGCCCCTTCCCGGGGAGCACCGGTGGGGCTGTGCCAGGGCGCAGGGAAGGCTAGTGGTGCAGCAGACAGGAGTCCTTCCCTGCGGGGTCTGCCAGTGCAAGGGCTACACTGGTGGTTAGGGAGAGCTGCCGGGAGCCTTCGCCCGTGCCGTGGCTCAGCCGGGCTCTGGGAGCATCCCTGATGGATCCTCAGACCTCGAAGGAGGCCGAGGAAGAGACGTCAGAGAGACACAGCACCCTGCAAGGCCTGGGCCCGAGCTTGACAGGAGGTCCCGGGGCGCACAGCGTGCTGCCGCACCCGGGAGATCCCCGGCCTGGAGCTTGAGAGCCGTGACGCAAGAGATGTGGAAGGGCGAGGTCTCCTCTGACCCCGCGGAGCTGCGGAAGGAGAAGGAGAAAACATCGAGGGGTCGAGAAGAACCCCGCATCTCCGCCTCCCGGGCGCTTCGAAGGCTTCCGCCGCAGGGACCCGGTGCGACACCGACAGGCTTCCCCCTCCTGCCTGGGTGCAGCACAGAATCGCTTCCCCCGAGCTTCCGCCTTACGGCACTGAAAGGCTTCCCCCTACTGCCTTGGTGCAGCACAGAAAGGCTTCCCTCGTGTCGCCTCCATTCGGGAGAGGATGGCTTCCCGCGGGGGCGCGGACCAACCTCTGCGGGTACTCCACCACCTCGCCTTCAAGAGAGCCCATGTCCCAAAAGGACACCCACCACCTCGGCTTCCCACAAGGAAGGTGCCAGCCCTGAAAGCTGTTGCTGGTCTTCCCCTTCCCCGGGCAGCCTATTCATAGGCACAACAGGTATTCGGATCTGTGCTTGCCCAGAGACCTGGCAGCTCAGCATTCGAGGCAGAGCCTGTTCCCGAAAAGGCAAACGTCCGGCTCCTTGTCCCACAAGGAAGGTGGCAGCCCTGAAAGCTGTTGCTGGTCTTCGCCTTCCCCGTGCAGCCTATTCACAGGCACAAGCGCACTGGGAATCTCTGCTTTCCCAGAGACGCAATCTCTCACGGTGCGCATCCTCGGCAGAGCCTGTTCCCGAAAAGGCAAACGTCCGGCTCCTTGTCCCACACGGAAGGTGCCAGCCCTGAAAGCTCTTGCTGGTCTTCACCTTCCCTTTGCAGCCCTTCCACAGCCCTGCCTGCACCGGGGTTCGGCGCTAGCTCTGGCACCTCACCCATGCCAGAGCCCAGCTCCAAAGTGGGCCCCACCACGGACGCCCCCACGCAGGGCGAGGGGCCTATGGGGTGGTGCATGCAGGTAAGGGTGTTTAGCGTCAGGTGCAGGCAGAGTTGTACCTCTCAGCACAGGCAGAGGTGCAGGCAGCAGTGCCACTGCAGGCACTGTGGGTGCACCCCACAGGAGGGTGGGGGGCCAGGCCCTGTCTTGCTGGGCCCACAGGGTACTGGAGTCTGCCCCTACCCAGGCACCCTCAAACTGGAGACACTGGGGTCATCCTAGAGCTGGAAGCACCGACCACCCCACCCCCAACTGGGACTCTTAGGAGAGCTGGACACCCCCAGCTGGGACCACTAGGATCCCCCAAACACAGTGCTCCCCCCAAATCAGGTTGCTTAAACTGGGAGCACTGGGATCCTCCCAGGCCTGGACTCTCCCTTACTGGGACCACTGGGATTCCCATGTTCCCAGCACAGTCCAGCACTCTCCAATGGCACCTGTTGACCCAGATCCACAAGGCACCCAAAGGTGGGGAGCACCACCCCTCCCATGTCCGAGAGGGGGGTGTTGTAGCCCCACAGCGGGGAGGGGGGGTCGCACAACAGTGGGTGGAGAACAGGGAGTGGGAGGGGGGGGTGTCTCTTCCCAATTTGCAGCACTGAGGCCCCCAGGGATCAACTCTGTGCCACAACCAGCAGCCCACACATGTTCACTCTGGACCCTACTGAGGACCTGGTACAGCCACAGTGCAGGGGTCCTCATGCCCCACCCCAAGCACCCCCTCCTTCCTTCCCCACCAGCCCCACACACCACCCACCCCAGGAAGGAGAAAGAGAAGGGGGCCGCTGTGGTTTAACTCATTTTATTTAGACTCATAAAGGTAACCGCGGCCCAGCTGGACCGTGCACATGGGGCTGAGACCCAGTAGAAACGCAGCAATAAGTCAGGAGCGGGGTGGGACAGGGCGAGCTGCAGCAGGGTGCGGTGCCCAGGCTGCTGAAGAAACGGTCAGTTGTTGAGAGGAGGGTTTATGAGAGCTGCCCACAGTCGGTAATGGTGATCTTCTTGCTTGTTTTGCCATCTTTGGAGCCACAGCGCTCCATGGCCTCCACCACGTTCATCCCCTCCTTGACACGGCCAAAGACAACATGCTTGCCATCCAACCTGCAAGAGAAGCACCGGTCATGGTTGGCACCTGCCGTCCCCATGTGGGGATGTCAGCACCAGGCCTGGCGTGTCACCTCCCCACCAGGGCGGGTGCCAGGGACTCCTGAGCTCACCCTCCTGCAGCCCCCGACTCACCACTCGGTCTTGGCAGTGCAGATGAAGAACTGGGAGCCGTTCGTGTTGGGGCCAGCATTGGCCATGGACAGGATGCCAGGGCCTGTGTGCTTCAGGATGAAGTTCTCATCAGGGAACTTCTCCCCATAGATGGATTTGCCGCCAGTACCGTTGTGGCGCGTGAAGTCACCACCCTGTGAAGAAGTGGCATTTCAGGTCACAGGCGCAGGACAAGACTCTGGAACCAGGCGCAATGGCCCTGCAGAGACGGCAGGCAGAGCCGCCTTCCCACCCCAAATCTGCCAGCACCCAACTCTGAAACCAAGATGGCAAGCGCCACCATCTCCTCACCCGCCCACCTCCCTGCTGCGGCAGAAGTGCCACACACCTGGCACATGAATCCAGGAATGATTCTGTGGAAGCAGGACCCCTTGTAGCCAAATCCCTTCTCGCCAGTGCTCAGGGCACGGAAGTTTTCTGCAAAGGAAGAGGAAAACCACGGTCAACGGCTCGTTTTGCCCAGAGTTAGGGAGCACACTAGGGTTTGGTGCAGCTGCAGTGTGGTCACAGTGCTGCTATACCAACCTGCTGTCTTGGGGACCTTGTCTGCAAACAGCTGTAAAGAGAAGAGAGGCTGTTAGTCAGGCTGAGGTGAAGACCGGCCATTGCCATCGCCCCCGGGAGCACACCCAACCCCGGGGGGATGCCCCCTCCCTCACTGCTCAGAGCCCAGGGACCCCCTCCAGGAGGTGGATCCCAGCAGTGCCTGTGGCCGCAGAGCACTCCCCACCTTAAGCTTTCATCTGGAGGCATCTGGAAACTGAACTAACAGACACAGCAGCCAAACGACTTTAAATATGCCGCACGTCTCATCAGCAGGGCAGACACGCGTTCGTTCCGCAGGCTGGGATTAAATTAAAAACCTATTTGACTTGAGCCTTCCCAGTCAGAGCACACGCCACCTCCCAATTACTCCAGGACGATTTTGAGCGGCGAGCAGCCATCTGCACGGTGAGGCGCTGCCAGGCAGGGAACGCGCTCTGCGACAGCCGCAGCGCAGCAATTCCTGGAGTGCGGTCCCTGGCCGTGCCAGAGATGCTTCACACCCCTGGTTGCCCGCTTCGCGGGGTGCTAAATGCTTTCCCTTAGCAGTGACAATCCTACAGCCATTGGCTTGCCACCGCTCTCGCTCCCCACCGGCCTTCTGAGACCCGGGAGCTCAACGGGCGCCCCAGAAGCATCTCCTGGGGGGAGTGGGGGGGACGCGGCTCGCTGCGATGCACCAGGCGACTCCGGGGGCTGCTACCGCCCGCCGAGGAGCAGCCTCGTTCGGGGGGGGGGAACGACAGGGACAAAATGGCGGCGCGGGCAGCCGCGGGCCCGATCCCGCAGCAGGAGAAGCCACCACGGCCACCCCCCACCCGCACCGGTGTGGCGCGGGGCCTCCCCGGCGGCGAGGCCGGCGCTAACGGGCCCGGGCTGCCCGCCGGCCGA